TATATATATTCGTATAAGTATAGCATTGTTTCAATGAAATATGTTTGATATATTTTTTATATTGATTGGATCATTAGAATATTTTTTATATTGATTGAATGTGTTTCGGAAATCTATTAAATTTTAATAATTAATATTTTAGATTATTGATGCATCGTCCCAATATTTTTTTGGCTTTATACCGTCATTTTTTAGTTTCGGGGATTTATATATATCACATAAATTTATATATTCTTATGCCCAACATCAAAATGTTAATACTTTTTTATATAATATCTTAATTATAAAACATATTGATGCACGTTTTATTTGAAGTAACGTATTTGAAGTGAACTGTATTTTTCATGCAAGTCTTTACGTGTCTTTTATTTTATTATTATATATAAGCTATTATAAAGTTTTATTTATTAGATATATAAGAGCTGTCTTAATTAAACAAATGAGCTTTCTAACTGAACAGTTTTTCAACTATTTTTCTGGAAAAAAAAAATAATTCAGAATTAAGCCTACGGTTGAGGTGCTATCGTGACTTCTTTCAAGGGACATTTACATATAAACCACCCAAATCTTATCTATTGATATATCGAACGCTTAAAATCTACCTTTTACATTTATTTATACCACACAAATCTTTTAAACTTCTAAAATGAAAAATACATCTTTTCATGCATAGGCTAAGTGGTATATATTTGCAAAAATTAAAGTTTTGATGTTAGATGTGTAAATACATAAGAATCGAGTGGTATATACATATAAAATAGTGAATGTTTAGAACATTGGCTTAATCTCCTATAATACCTTAAAAATTAGTCTGATGCCTGGGTGGCCTTATCTAGCTAATGAGAAAAAAAATATGGCACCCAAAAAGAGGACTACGACGATTGGGCCTTCAATGTAGAATAATTTTTAGCTAAGGAGAGAAAATGATAAGTAAATCGGGAGATTGAAAATGTATGTTAGATTTAGACAACTTAGCGGTAAAGGAAGGGAGAAAACTTTACGTCCGGACAATGCGCATCCAAACAACTCAGGCACCACGTTGCCATACACGTCGGTGGTGGGCAACGTGGCGCTTGACGATTGGCCGTTCGGACGTCCGCACGTCCGGACGTAATATTTTTTCCGAGTAAGGAGTTCAACATATTTAAGAAGAGAGGAGAAGGATTAAATATCAATGATACTAAGATTTTATGATGTTTGACTTTATAGTCTACATGCATGATAAAATAAAGAGACAGATGAATAATCTACTGTAAAGAGCGAAACAACACATAATGTTTTAAAAAATTAGTCTTACCTTATCAATTATAGCGTAATAAAACTAAGAAGGGGAATATAAAGAGAAGAATAATATGAATTATAATCCTCTATTCTCCCTCTTCAAAGCTCAGGGCTATACATATTTAATGAGATTGATATTTTATTCCTACTATAAGGAATAATTGTAAAATTTTAAAAAATATGGTAATCCATTTGGCCCTTTAGCATCAAATGATCATGAATAGATGTTGTATGTTACCTCTTTGTGGAGCCAAAATAAGTGTGAATGGCCAGGCTATTAATAGACAATGTTGTGATAGAGGCTTGGTGTTGGTGATTGGTTTATAGCTATAGAGCTAAGGATGTTGAGAACCGATTTGGAGAGTTGATGATGCTTGGCGGGTTAGAGGTGAAAACTAACAAAATCAATGTGGTGAACATAATAGAAGAAAGAAGAAGAATAAGCAGAAGAAATTATATGTTAGACCTTTCAACTTGGGAGTTGACAAACCTAAGACACTTAAACAAATAACATAAGAATGATTGAGTGGTCTCCGAAAATTCAATGATCGCTCCCCAAGGACAACTCTCTGCATTTATTCTATATATTTTTTGAGAGAGCTTTGGAGGTCAAATTTTTAGAAGGCAGATTGGATTATAGATATGAACTAACCAGAGATTTCACCCTCATTTAGCGAGGAATTTTTCGATCTGCAGTTCAAGGTTTCCCATAGGCGCAAGACTCTATGGTTAATTACCCCTCCCGATAATGGGAGAACACTTTCGATTAAGGCGAGTCATTAAGAATTGAGTATTCAACATATAATACCAGTAGACTTAAGACTTTATATTGTAAAATTCACCACTTGAAGCTTAAAGTGGATGGCGGGGAAATAAAGATAAAATCCAATCGAGATCCCATGGTTCCATTATCCCGGGTCTTCGTGGTACCTGATTTATTTAATCAAAGGAGGTAGTCGACCCAACCTTACAGAAGGATCATATCAGCAATCATGGGTTGTGTCGTCAAAGATATCCTTGTAAATCTGGGGTGGTTGTTTGTCTAAGGGGACAAAAGGGGACAAATTTAAGGGGGACAAATTTAAGTTGAACTTAACCAGCAGAAGGCTTTAAGCCAATTAGTTGTATACTATGATTTACAACTCAAATGCTAGAAAGTCATTGGGAAACATATGGGCTGCGATCGTGACCGTAATATAATGGTCTCGTTTGACGAAAACCACTCGATCAGAGGGCTCTGGTCATTAAAGATATTTTGTGGCAAAACTATGCAGACAGAGGATTCAAGCCAAGTCTTTACTAGCATGCAATTGCATTGATTGTAAATATACATTTAATATGACATTAGCTTTTAATGAGATGAAGTCAGTCAGAAATTTGTTACCCTCGACAAACCGTTGTGGAGGGTGGATGAAATTTTGCTTCAAGATTTTAGTGATTGAATTTTGCTTGAATATTTGGTTGGTTACTTTAAAAAATCTTAAATTAAAAGATTGACCCATCCGGTTGAATCTTCAATCAACACGACTTTTATTGGGGTATTGACCATTTTACATTTAAAAGATGCATTCAATTTTGTCACTTTAGACTTTTAGGGTATAAGTTCTGTCAAATTGTGTTTTTTATAAAGAGGACCAGACTAATTTGTTGATTTTCAATTATAAATTCTTATTTCGGGATTTGAACATTTATTAGACTTTACTAGAATCGACAACTCTAGTTCTTACAAGGAGAAGAATCAGATTAGTGAGATGATGTGGTATGATTTGGACATTTATTATGGTTCATTAGACTTGTCAACTCCAATTCTTGTGAGGAGGAAGATTGGACTAGTGGGATGATTTAGAATTGTAAATTCTTATATTATGATTTGGACATTTATTAGGGTTCACTGGACTTGTCTACTCCAGTCCTAGCGAGGAGGATGATCGGACTAGTGGAGTGAGACTTACAATACTATTCTATAGACAAGACGTCCTGATTTGCCCGCATAATATTCTCGAACCTAGTATTTGAGCATTCTATGTGTTGGTTCGAGCACATGCAAACATTAGAAAAATATGTGTAATTGATTTATTTGTTAAAAATATACAACCCGAGACACTGTACTCATTAAGTCTTGAGAGATGACTCTCATTTCAAAATATATCATTTGACTCACGAAACAACTACATACTTTATATAGATTTTGAAATTATTCAGAACTTGAGTATTTGCATGAGCATTATGATTTTAGGCTTTAAGGAAAATGACCACCTTCTGTTCGCTAGTAAGTGTTGCGAATCTGGTTGTGGTGAATTTCAAGTTTTAAGAAAACTCAATACTTGAATTATGATTCACCTCTAAGAGCCTAAGTCCAAATAGCTCAAATCCAAAATATTATAGATTTACGAGCTAAAATTTTAAAATTCAAATCTTATATTTTATAAAAATTGACAGTTTGTTGATTGTCGTATAGTTCCCTTTTTTGAATAAATCTCTCTTCCAGGTCATTTGAATGATCAGGAGAAGAAAGGAACCGAAAAGACAAACAAATGACAAAGAGGACAAGCAAAGAAAGAATGTGGAGAGCCTACATGCGATAGCCATCACAAGGATAGATAAAGCATGTTCACCCAAACAAGATCGGGTGGAGGCACCTTAGATCAATATCCACGAAAGAATACCTACGTAGATTACCCACAAACAGAGATTCAGGTGTATGTGTCTGTTCAGAGGTCAAGAGCACTCCCAAGAGGATGTATCTCACTTGGTTAATTACATCTTTTGTTATTTAATTATGTCCTTTATTATATATCTCAACATTTTACTGTAGGTATACTATTATAAAAATCCAAATTCCATTTTTTTATTTTTTTTGGTGTTACCCTGATTCATGACTTTTTATACAACGTATGAATTTGCATTCTTGAAATGGTTTTATGAGGAAATTTGAGAAACCTTTATGATCATCTAGAATGCTTGATAAAGTGATTGACTATGTATGAATTGATTTATTTGCAATTTTGCTATAATAAATCAGAAGGCTACCACAACAGAAGACAATGAAGCAGTTGGATGCAACCCCTTGCCGGGATCCCGCCCCCCGAAAATCCTTCGAATCAATCTTCTCCAGGTTTGAATCGCACTCTATTCCATCCTGCCTGATGCAGCTCTTTCCAAACCGAATATCGTGAAACCGATAAAGTAAATATGACCAAAAGAAAACCTAATAATTTTTAAGACTCGTCATTTTGTGGTCTTGTTAGCTGAGCTAGTCAATATCCAAATAGATTATATCTAGGAGCATATAGTTTTGAAATATTAAAATTGTAAAATCAAATTCAATATGTAGAACTTTGTTTCATGCAATTTTTTACATTATTATGAATAATAAAAGAATTCTACATCATAAATATATAGAAATATAATTGAAATACAAAGCTAGAACTGAAGATAATATCCCATACAATAACACACACATACACACATGAGATTCCAAGTTTATTTGAAGTTCAATAAATAGCACCCATTAGATTTTTTTTTTTTCAAAATTTATACACCATATAAACTTTCAATTAATTACAAATAAACCCATAAGGGTATTAAATTAAGGGAAACTTTAACATATTCACTACACAATTGTTAGGGATTTACATATTTTGATACCTATATTTATGATATCTTGGTGCTATAAACCTATGCATTAGAAGGTGCATTTGACTTTAAAAATTTTTATAGTAATATTTTTGATGTGATGCTAAAAATTTGAGTGTTAGGAATTACAATATTAAAGTTTTGGTCTTAGATATGCAAATATATAAGAATTGTATAAATACCCCCTTAAATTAATTGGTTGCCAAACTAGATGTAATCACCTAACCAAAATTGTCTTATATTATTGATTATTCAAAAATAAACATAATTAAAGTTAACCCTAACATAATCTATCATATCAATTCAGAATTAAAAACCAATAGATCTAATTTCATGTATAAAATAATTAAATTTATAACGAATAATAATGTTGCATTATTGCTGAATTTGGCCTTTAAAAGAGAAGCATAAAACTAAGTTGTGTTGTCGAGATGAGAATGATATGTGGATGAGTGGCTTTACATTTAGAGACAAAATGCGAAATGAATATATTTGTGATAAGGTTGGTGGAGCTCCAACAATGGTCAAAATTATAGAGAGTCGTCTTAGATGGTTTAGTCACATTAAACGTCGATCATCTAATGATCCAATTAGAATAATGTATGTTTTAGATTCGACTTATATTAAGAAAGGCAGAGGTAGACCTAGGGTGACTTGGACATATAATATAAAAAATGGTCTTAATCTATTATATTTAAATGAAAATATGATATTAAATATGACATAATGGAAAAAAAAAATGATTCATGTAGCTGACCCCATTTTGGGATAAATGTTTTGTTGATGTTGTATAGAGAAAAGGGAACTCACCCACGTGGCTTAAAAAAAAAAAACAAATTTAAATATGATACATCTGAATGGTTTGAATCACATCAACTTTCCTTGTTACAATTACATTTATGTCAAAGCAATGATTCTTAATTTACTTTTTTTTTTCCTTTGATTCCCAACTTTTAATCTAAGACGAAAAAAATAGACTTTTTCAACTACCATCCTTCGCTTCGATCAACATCAACTCATTAGTTGGATTCATAGTTCCACGAAAAATATGATTTTTAATAGTTCTTTCGGAGATTTCATGTCGTTAAGATCAAAGCTCATGCTTCTACCGAGAAAGATTCTGCAACTAAGTCGAAGTTAAGAACAAGAAGCAAGCATGGAAGCTTGTAAATCAGGAGATGAGGGTTTTGGTTCTCACTTCTGAGTGCCGGGGAGCTGCTGACTGCTACAAATCTTTTCTGGCACAAGATAGAGAAGAAGAAAGAATCAATTCATCTTTCTGGAAACTCTTTTTTCGTCGTCGTCTTCCTGTTTTTCTTCTTCCTGCGCTTTTTTTTTTGTCTTGTTTAGTAGAAAAAATGGCTCTTCTGGCCGGTTTCTGTTGCTAGGACCTGTGTAAAGGCTCCCCCTCCCATGAAACTATCTGTATAAAAGTAGGATAGTTTCTCCTTCCATTCTTTTTCCTGCAATTCGCTTTGATTTTTAGCTGTAGATAGATTTTTTTCTGATGAGGCTTATGCGATTGCTAATAGTGCTCTGTTTAGGGTTTTCATCTGCATCTCTTGCTGGAAGCAGTTACTCTCCAAATCAATCCTCGAATCTGTTGGCGATTTCGTTTTTCTTAATCTTCAAGGTTAGAATCAGTGCTCTTGCTGTTTATTTGTTTGATCGAATGCCTCAATGAATCACCCTGGCTTTTGTTTCTAGGAGAACTTAACTATGGAGCTTTGAAAGATTTAATCCATGGAAGATAACACTCCCCTTCCACTTATTTTGACTGAATTAGATCTCATGGATGATTTCCTAATATCAGGATTGTTGGAGAGTCCACGTTACTCTGATCATTTAGGCACTTTCTCTTCAAGGAGCCCCTTAGCCTCACCGGCATTTTCGCCACTTATAGAACTCAACAACATTGTGTCCAATCCAGTCATCCCTGATACTAAGATCCAAGAAGGAGAAGAAGAAACAGAAAAATCTTTTATTTTTCCAAATCCTGCTCAGAATGGAACCCAAAGAGATGATGGAGGTGAATCTATTAATCCTGGAGAGACAAATTCAACACCTGTTCTTGACAGCAAGCAATGGATTCAGCCAAGCATACCAATTTCCTTACAGGAAAGGCTCACATATGCTCTTAATCGAATAAGAGAATCTCAAGCCTGTGGGAATGTTCTGGTTCAAATATGGATTCCTGTAATAGTGGGAGAAAGATGCTTTCTCTCCACATTCGGACAGCCATTCATCCTTGACCAAAATTGCCACAATCTCATACAATATAGAACAGTTTCGATGAACTATCGGTTTGCTGCTGAAAAGAATTCAACTGATGCGGCGGGATTGCCCGGCCGGGTTTTCGCGAGGAGAGTGCCGGAATGGACACCGGATGTTCGATATTTTGCCAGCCACGAGTTTCCCCGTGTCATGGATGCTCAGAGATGCAACGTTCGTGGCACAATTGCACTTCCTATATTCGAGATGAACAGCCATTTGTGCTTAGGTGTTGTGGAAGTTGTCTCAACGGCGCAGAAGATCAATTATCATTCTGATGTTGAGAGCATTTGTAATGCTCTTCAGGTGTGTTACAATTTGGCCCCTCTTTTTTCCTTCAAAATTTACTTCAATTATATGTTGCTCTTAACTTTGGGTTCATATGCTTAGCTTAATGCTGCTTTTGTTTATTGCACTTTTACATATACTTGTATTTGGCTTTCGGAACATGCAACTACTTTGATGCTGTTTGTTAAAACTTGAAGACAATGCTAGAAAATGCTTATTTTTTGGCATTATTGTATCTGTTTGTAACCGTTTCAGTAAGATTTACATACCTAAAACTCAATTCCTATGTATTAACTTATCTAACTTCCGAGAAAATATTAGGTGCGGTCATCCGTATATGAGGACAATCAATTACATTCGAGCACATAATGTAGGTCACTTTGTATTTCACAATTAACATACTCAAATGTGATGGTTGTCCGCACGTACGTATTTCATAGCACCTTAGGTATAGACGAAACATGCGTATTCCACATTTTAAAAGTAAAAAAGGTGGTATTTTTGATGCAATAGGAAACGTTTGGGCATTATAATTGTAAAAGGTGAAATTTTGATGTTAGGCATGTAAATACATAGGATTTGGGTGATATGTATCTAAATGCCCCAAGATTCTATCAAGATAGTTTTTTTATCCTTCTTCATGCATTTTTGCTATGGGTTTTATGGATAGCGATTCAAATGTGAGGCACTCCAGTACCATTTTCACTGAATCAGATTTCTATTTGCAGGCTGTTGATTTAAAGATTTCAGACGATCATAGCATTAAGTTTCTTAAGGTGAGTTGACCAAACAGAAATTTGATGTTACCCTATGATTTACCCCTTATTCGAGTAACAATAAAAATTCATCTTTTAGGCGAAGAACGATTCCTACATGGCCGCTTTACCAGAGATCATCGAACTCCTAAAGTTTGTCTGCGACAAACACAAATTACCGCTCGCGCAGACTTGGATTCCATGTCTTCAGCAAGGCAAGAGTGGCAGCCGCCAGACAACTATAGGGACTGTGTGTCCACCATTGATGAAGCTTGTTACCTGAACGATCCTTCAGTGTTGGGATTTCATGAGGCCTGCTCTGAGCACCATCTGTTTAGAGGCCAAGGCGTTACTGGCAAGGCTTTCACAACAAACCAACCATGCTTCTCTCCGGATATTAAAGCTTTCAGCCAGATGGAGTATCCTCTATCACACCACGCCAAAATATTTGATTTACAGGCAGCTGTGGCGATTCGCTTGCGAAGTAATTGCGCCGGTACCACGGACTTCGTGCTGGAATTTTTCCTACCAATTAGTTGCAGAGAACCCGAGGAACAAAGGCGGATGCTTGATTCGTTGTCGATCACTGTTCAGCAACTCTGCAAGAGTTTGATGGTGATCTCTACCAAGGAACTCGATGAAGAGAATTACTCGCGTGTTAGATCTGTTGCGGCTCCCTTATCTGGGTTTGTTGAGACTGAACCGTCTTGTAGTGCTAGTATTATTGAGTTAGATCGTGAAGAAGATGGGAGTTCTCCGCTTACTAGCATGAGATTGGAATTCAGTAATGAGAGTGAAAAACTGAGATTTTCGGGTCAGCGGAATCAAACGGAAGTGGCGAACTCTGCAGGGAAGTCGATCTCAGAATTTAAGCCGTACCAGGAAGATTTGGCGGATGAGATGGGTGATCATAAATATAATTTTCCTGGTGAAGTTACTACTGTAGGTTTTAGAAAAGCAACAGGGAAGAAGCGGACGAAGATGGAGAAGACTGTCAGCATGCAAGTTCTTCGGCAATACTTTGCTGGTAGCCTGAAAGATGCAGCTAGGAGCATTGGTGGTAAGCTTCATATTGTTATTATTAGCTCATGATTTCTTTTTTTAATTTATACGCAATAATAGGTTACCATGATAATTGGTGATTTGCACGTAGGGTTTTTTTAATTTTTTTTTTCAAAACCACTATTTTTATAGAATTCAATTCTAGCTGCTTAACATGGATTGGATGGTTGGAATGAGTTAACTGCATCTTGTCTATTACTAAGGTAGCCCAAGAGGATCCGAAAACATGCAACAATATTGACATTATGTCATTGTGTAATAATCAATAGTTTCTCACTTTCTAGCGTCATTAATGTTTTCTTTGAAACAAAATTTTGCAAAATTCTCTACAATGATGGCTAGTTCTAAATTACTAAGGCTACATTTGAGGTAGTTTTGTAGCTGCGGCGTGACAGGAAAACGCAGAAGCTAGCGTTTGGAAAAAATTTACGGTGACTTTTCAGCTTATTTGAGTAAGTTTGTGTGATAATACCTCGATTGTCCTCGACCTCACACATTCATTCACGTGATATCTTCGCTGTTCGAAACCCTCTGCCCTAGCTTCTTCTCCTCTTTTCTCTATTATGCTTCAACCCCTTGTTCGGTTCTACCCTAGCTCCTCCTCTCTCAACAACTGTGTTTGACGGGTTCAGGTAGCATTTCTCCTCCTGCTTTCTCCTTCTCTCTGAATACTCGATTCCGGTGACTTTCTTCCATTGGTAATCTCTAACCTATAGTATTGGCATTGAAATTAGCTTGTTGTTTGAAGATTTGTCATTTGTGCATTGCTTCTTACGACCCATGATTTGGTTTTTTGCGGTTTTTGGTTTTTCTATTATGACCCGTACAACCTTCTTGCGATTTCTTGGCCTCTGCTCGGAAGATTTTTTTTTTGGGATAATCACATACACTGATACACTTGTGTGCTGTTTACAAATCAATTCCATATATTAACTTCATCTCTTTTTTCTTTGAGGATAATTAGTGTTGCTTGCTCAGTTGGGTCATTCCCTCTATTTCATTTTTGGGATAATTACATACAGAGCACAATAAACATAGCTATTTAAAATCAATTCTCATAGGTGATTTTTTGAACTATATATTCGATGCATTTACGCGTGCCACAATCGTCAGACATGAATTTGATAAAAATGAAAAATATGGGTTGGGGTTTTATCATGACCTTTGATATTTGAGTGAGAATTTGAAAGATGGATGAAAGAGGTGCTTGATTTGTAATAGCAATGTTTTGGGTGCCCTGTATGTAGTCGTCCCTTCATTTTGTTGGTTCAATTGGAACAACTTTGTTGCTCTACTTGTTGGTTGGTTTTGTTGGTGGTTTGCCCTCTTTGTTGGAGAAAGTCAATGTCGCTTGAGGTAGGAAAAAAGATGTTTAACAAGAGACACACATCCTTATGCCGTGTTATTGAAAGAAAATTTTGAGTTTGTAAGAAAAAAATGAGTTATACTGCGAGATATGCTAACATTTTTATTTTCTAAGCAACTGAATATTTGCTTTCAAGTATGAAATGTGCTAGCAAAATGAATTCTATTATAAACAACATTATAGTACAGGGGCAAAATTGTCATTTCATCAGAAACTGCTGTAGCAATGTTGTTTCAAAACTGCAAAAAACAAGCTTCTGCATAGTGGTTTCTTGCCATAGCTGCCGTGCAACAGTTTTTTAATAAGCTGCAATTTCCCTAAAGAGACCCTAAAACTAGACAATGTTTTCAATTGTTTTGGATTAACATTACCCTGCCAATTATTAGAAGTTATAGATGATGGTCGAAAATACTAAAATCTTTTATAACTGAACTTATTTGCTAGTTTTTTTTATCATTTAAATCTTAAGTTGTATTTATGTTTACTAAATCATCTAAACAAGTAGTATTGTTCTTTGCCGAATGTAACTTTCCTTCATTTTAGCAAAAGGATGTTATTATAAACCTCTTAAGAAGGCAGAAGTACATTGAAAATGAATTCAAAGCTACTAATTTTATTTCATATATTTAACTAGATTTTATTCAAATTCATTCTTTTGTAATTATCTAGCACATTTTATAGGGCTTATTTAATTTAGAAACTTTTTTGAATAAAATCTTATGGCTACAATATCCTTTTTTTTTAATGGCGTCCTTTATAATATTTGTAGCATTTTACTGTAGGTATAATATTATAAAAATCCAAATTCCATATTTTTTTCCATTTTTTGTTTTTGTTACCCTGGTTCATGACTTTTTATACAACGCATGAATTTGCATTCTCGAAATGGTTATATGAGGAAATTTGTGAAACCTATATGATTATCTAAAAGACTTAATAAAGTGTTTGATTAAGTATGAATTGATTTTTTTGCAACCTTGCTATAATAAGTCATAAGACTACTGCAGCAAACGACAATGGCGCTGTTGGATGAAGCCCCTTGCCGGGGTCCCACCCCTCATGATTTTTTCAGTTTCAGACAAAATCCATCGAATCAATCCTCTAAATCGCATGCTATCCCATTCTGCCTGATGCAGCTTTTTCCAGACCTCCATATGCCTTGCAATTTTCTCTAGTTGCTGCCACTCAAATCCACTCACGACTCCTTCACTCGATTTTGTCTGCTTTCGTTTGTTCCACTCGTCTGGGCCGCAGTATTCCTTCTAAGTGCTGCCGCTCGAGTTCGCTCCTGTTTACTTCATCGATTCTGCGGCTCTAGATCAACCTAAAGCAGCGGCGTTGTCTTAGCACAAAATTTTCAGATTGCTGCCTCTCTCGTTTTCTCCAGATGCCGTTGCTCGATGGAGGGGGTTGGCGACAACGATTTTGTATGAAACTCCATAATTTTCTTCATTATTTCTTCCAGGGCCATGAATCTCCCCTCAAACCATCCTCCATGGACAAGAAATACTCATCCATTTCAAATCTAATTTGGTTCATCTCTTCCTTTAATTTCTTCTGCAAAGCATCAATTTTTTGGCCTTTCTATGGACGAAAAATACTTATCGTTTCATATCTAATTTGACTTACCTCTTCCTCTAATTTCTTCTTTAGAGCATCTATTTTTTGGCTGCTAATTACTCCAAGAATGGTTTTAAATTATGAAGGTGGAACTCCTGTGAGCTGAGATCTCATCGTTGCCTTCCCAAGTAGCCTGAATCGCGACTGTATCGATAGGTTCGGTTCCTTACACAATCTCGTCATTGGCTTGTTTGCCCCCCAATTTAGCTTGAATCGCGATCCCGTCGGCTCCGAGCTAGTTCGAATAACGACCGTTCGCGACTAGGGCACGCCCGATCCTAACATTGTTTCCTTGTACTCCCTGATATTCAGTCATAAGGGCGGCATCTATATGCTGCGGTCCTGTCGGTCTTCTGTGCTAGCTCCAATTGAGATATTTGTCCAATAGTGATTGTATCACGATCTCTTCGCTTCCAAACTAGTTCAGATCGTGATTTGTATCACAATGTGAGGTCATGAAGGTGAACCGCAATCCCGTTGTTCCACAGAATCAAATGTTTAGATACCACTTGATAGGACAGGACAAATTTCTATAGCAATTAGGCCAAAATAAAATATTTTACTCCACCGGTAAAAAAACTGACACAGCCTAAACACATAAAATATAAACCTACAATTCAAGAGGTAGGCGATTCTTTCCCAACCTAACTACTCGAGAGGTAAGGCGTTCTCTTCCCAAACCTTAACTCTAAACTTCATGACAACAATGACATAACACCACATAACCCTAAACATATTAGCCCTATTTATACCACACAATAATAACAAACAACAAACTAGATCTCCCTTTAGCCTTGCGCTTAAATAGGTCTTCAAATTATTTGGTGGGCTCGGTGTGTTGGCAAATACTAGGTGCCGGTCTAACATAATCCACATGCCCTTAAACCTTCTCTTTCCTTCCTTTTGAGTGACCCTTAGCTTTTTTTTTTTTTTTTTTTTTTTTTCTCTTCCTTTTTTTACTTCTTTGAATCATCATGAACTTGCCTCTTTTCCCACATTTTGTGAAACGGGAGCATCGACTTTCCTTCATTATCCTAATTTCTGAAAATCTTTGAACTTTGGTATCACAAGTCTATTTTTCTCGTCTATCTCATTCATAAAGAATATAATTGATTTAAGTGCATTATAGTTGACTAAATAACTGACAAAATAAAATGAAGCAAAGGTTCAAACGACCTAAAAATGTAATAAATAAATTTGATTAAACAACTTCTATATTCAAAAGGGGCATGAAATATGCATAAGTTTAATTAGTGAGCTGAACTCCATGAAGGCTGACATCTAAATTCCACATGCTACAAAGCACTACTGTAGAAAGTTGTAATAGCCGTACTAATACAAGATCCAACAAGTACTAGAAAGCATGAATTGTCTGCCAGGCTAATCGTCCTCAGCATATAGCTCTGATGAAACAAAATTGAATGATTATGTATAAGACCATGAGATAATTAAGCTCATCTTGAAAGAATGTCATATATCCAAAAAAATATTGTGTTCGGAGTCCGGGGACAAAGAACGTGATACAGCTGGAAGGAGTGGAGCTCGGACCTTCGCTGTATCACGTTCGTTGTCCGGATTCCAGACGCAATATTTTCTCCATACATCCAAGAACTTCATATATTCTTTTTAACTGACACACACATCCATATATGCCAGGCTTGAACTAAGGATCATGTAGTGATAGTTAAATCACCTAACCATTAGACCTAGTGGTCTACACACAAACTTTTTGTATTTATATTAGGAAGATTTACCTACATACCATTCAATTTCCATGTATTTACATATTTAAAGCTTAAAATTCAATTTTTACATTCATTCCACCTTACTTATGCATGAAAATGTGCATTTCACCTTTTTAAAATTTAAAATGGTGATATTTTTGATTTTATATGGAAGAGTTGGGTGGTATAAGTGTAACAAGTAAAGTTTAGGTGTTAGATATGTAAATACATAGGAATTGGTATGTATGTGAACAACTCTTTAAATTATGGAATTGGGTTAGCCATGTCAAGGGAAAAATCACTCATAAAAGAGTAGACAAGGGATTTCGATGATCACGGAGGTCTAGGCAAATTGGTGTAATCCAGATAGCATAAGAAGTTCGACATCTGACGCATCATTTGCCATACGGTAAAAGTAACTCCTTTTTTATTTACAAAAGTAGCATTTTGAGTAGAATAGTTGCATCAATCATAAGTTAAAACTAGCATTTATGATTATTAAGTGGAACCATTTAGGCAGGCTTTTCAAAGCCTGAAACTGCAAAAGAAATCATATTATTGGCAACATCACTGATGTCATTGGGCTAAAATCTACCGGGCTAACTATTATGAACCAGCAAATTATTAAAAATATATTTGTTTCATGAATTGTTCTATGTATAATGTTTTTAATTTCATATCCATACATCTTTTATCAAAGATAACAAAATCTATGAAATGTCTATTCACAATTACAATCTGAACGGGACTGAATCTAACTGCTGCTTTTTGCCATACACCTTTCTCTGTTATAGTGTGCCCTACAACTTTGAAAAGGATATGTCGACAACACGGCATAACTCGCTGGCCCTCACGAAAAATAAAAAAAGTAGACCACTCCTTGAGAAAACTTCAAGTGGTAATCGATTCAGTTCAAGGCGGGGAAGGTACCTTCCCTTTTAGTACCTTTTACGAGAATTTAACCGAGCCTTCGGGCCTCGAAACGAATTCTTCAGAAAGAGACCTATTGAGTCAAGTAGAAGTTAAGTGTAGTCCCTATATTTTCGCTTCAAACTCTGCTTCTTCATCAGGCAGTCAAGTTTCGAGTTCAAGCCTCAGTGATTCGATCTGCTCGAGGCAAGTCACAGATGCCTTACAACTTCAAATTAAACACGAAGCAAATATGGATGAGAGGCAGATTAGCAGCCTTAAGAGACCACACAGCCTTGTAAAGCCGACTGTCTCAGCGCAACAGCCATCGAAATCTATGGCTAAACCAATGATTCAAACGGGCATCAGCGAGCGGCCTTCATTAATGAGTCATCAGAACATGCTCAGAGTAAAAGCAATTTATGGTGAAGAAATGGTTAGGATCAGATTACAGCCTGATTGGGGACTAATGGATTTGAGGAAAGAAATAGCAAGCAGGTTTAATATGAGTGATTCAAATTCGATAACTTTGAAATACTTGGATGATGATTCTGAGTGGATCTTGTTAACATGTGATGCTGATCTTGAGGAATGTGTTGATATATACAGGTCATCAGGCGCTCAGATTGTTAAAGTTTCTGTACAGTCTGCTTCTAACAATTAAGTAATGGTAGATCTACATACTTAGCCCATAATTCTTATGTATTTACATATCTAACCCCTAAACTTCAATGATAATAATGCATGCAAAAGTGTATTTCACTTTTTTAAAAGTTAAAATGGCGGTCTTTTTGATGTGATATGAAAGATTTGGGCGGTATAGATGTAAAAAAGAAAAGTCTAGGTATCAGGCATGTAAATACATAGGAATTGGGTGGTATGCATGGAAATGCCCCGGAAGTAATACTGCTTTTGGATGCACAGAGCTGTCATGGAAATTACAAAGAAACATAATTCGACGGGAATTGCCGTTGAGTTCGTTTAATTGGAAATTACTCTTGATGAAGAGAAATCTCGAAAAAAGATTCAACGAGAAATTAAGAATGGATGGGAATCAGTTTTGATGCATTGGATGTTCTTTTAGCACCGAAGTAAGTTTTTCATCTGCTCTCTTTTGTATCTCATCATCTTAGCGAATAAAGTTGTTTTCATCCTTTGAAGAGCAGATTTTAAGTAAATGCAGGAAGAGCTTCTTCTCTTAATTTCTTGTTCATAGAAAGAAGATATTAAGAATTTTTGGAGGCAAATGGCTGGATCATGCTAAGCTGCAGTATCTGTTTTGAATAAGTTATGTAATCTGTATATTAAGCTCCTGATATTGTAGTCATAGAAGATTTTGCCAATTAGGTTGTGGTGCAGTTTTGTAATTACTTGGTGGGATTTTTGTAAATTAAATATGGTGAGATATTTTTTGTTTGACATTGTTCTTGCAATTTTACTTGATATTAAAAAAAAAAAAAAGAGATTTGAAAATGATGGAAGTCTGCTGATGTTTGTGAAATATGTATAGATGTATGGCCATGATGTTGAAGTTTTTTTTTTTGGAAGATTTACATATATACCACTTGATTCCTATGTAATTATTTTTTACATATCTTCCCTCTTGTTCATGCATAAAAAGGCATTTTTATTTTTTAAAATTAATATTAAAATTTTTAATGTAATATGAAAGATTTGTGGGATATTTGTAAAAAATAAAGTTTACCAATACAGACACAGAAGCTTTAATTATTATTTTTTTCAATTAATAATTCTATTTATCATTTTATTAAGCTTGACATTCGACCTCTGTAAGCCGGTTCAAATTCATAAAATCAAACTCAAGCCTGGCTTCAATCTGGATTAATTAATTCAATTTAAGCTCATATGGAGGGTACTTTAAAATAAATTTAGTATATTTAGATTCTTAATTCTAACAAATTTTATTATGCGAAACTTAATTTTTAATTTTATTCATACTTGAATAATTTAATCATACCTATTTATAAATTAATTCTATTTACAAATTTAATTTTTTAATTAAACATTGAATTATTATGAAATAGTTTTAATAGACATTTTAATTTAAAAAATAATCTTTTAATTAATGTGCACTTGAAATGTCCGTTTTAAGAATTAATTTTATAAATAAAACGCACCTACAGATAGGGGTGTAAATGAACGGAACATGAATGAACATAACTTATGTTCATGTTTGATTCGTTTGAAATTTAATTTGTTTAAAATAAACTCATGTTTGAAATTATTCGTGAAGTCATTGTTTCGTGTTTGTTTCTTTACGAACGAGCCGAACACGAGCTGTTCACGAACGACGAGCCAGATTAACATCCCTAATATTACTATATGTAAATAATATATTATATAAATTATAACTTATATTATATAAATATATAATATCTATATTAGTATATTACTAATATAATATATTAATATGTTATTATTATTAATTTATTATATATTATAATTTATAAAATTTATATATATAATTATTTTAAATCATTTTATATTTCAAACAATAACGTTTTGAACACGAACGACCACATCACTATTTGTGTCTGATTCGTTTTAACCAAACAAAAAAAATTTGTTCATGTTCGTCTCATTCATTTATCGAACGAATCGAACACGAATTCATTGACGAACCGAACACAAACTATTCACGAACAACAAGCTTTTTTGACAGCCATACCTACAGACATTTTGGTCCTTAAAATTTCTGCCTGGATTCTAACGCAAGAATTTATAGCAAATAGGCTCCTTTCTAAAAATTTCATATTTCAAATGCAAATAAAAAACTTTAGATGTTATAGAAATGTAAATTTCTCAAAAACATTAGGGTTTCCCCTTAAATAGATAAATTACTTGCATAAATATCGGCACATTCTTTTTTTTAAGCATAAATGTAAATAGGAATGTTTAGGCCTTAAAAATTCAAATAAATAAGAATTGTGGTAAATATATGTAAATTTCCCTTTAAGTATAGGTCAGCCACTTGTCTTTAATGCCCATATTTGTCATTATAAAGAGCATGCCTCTTAAGATTTTAGTTCAAAGAAGGTAAATAGCGATCAAAATTTGAAACAACTGCGTACAGCTACTTCACGTTTTGAAAAGCTCAAAAATTTTCATTTTACAAACAGTTTGGGTGCAATACTTTCTATGAAATTGTTATTACAAAAACTATGTTGCTGTTTCAGACAACCATTTGCTCCCTAATTTAGAACCTAACTTTTTTTAAAGCGATTTTGTAACAAACTACTATAAAAATAAAAGCTTAGCGAAACAAAAAACTTAACATATCGCTTAAGCTCAGGTCAGTCTTCTCGTATCTGAATCCTTAAAATTACAGAATTTCTGAAAGTTCATGCCTGCAGAGCCTCACTAGTGTCTAGATATTGTTTGTTTCCTTTCTAATTGTAGAGTCATGCAAATTTCATTTACAACATATACATGATGATATTTTCATCACCACACTTCCCAACTTCTACTTTCTAAATAGTTTTTTTTTTATCACCTCATAAAAACAACCTTTTGTAGCCATCGTAACGGCTACTCTACCTTTTCTTTATTATGATGATATTGTCTCAGCTGGAATAGTAGGCTGATTTTCTGGTTTTTCATCAGAATCACATCTTGAAGGCGGTCCACAAATGCTTAGCAGAACCTGTTTGATATAAATTTGGGTTCGTTAAAATTGATGAACTACAGCGGCTGGTGGAAATTGTAATTTTGTAAAGTCTATATCTGAGTAAAGTGTAAAAATAATGTCCTAACTATTTACATGGGATCATTTTAGTCGAGTCTATAAATATATCAAATTAGTTCTCGGACTCTTATTACGGACTAAAAGTCCCCGGGGCAAAATTGATACTTTTATAGACACTAGGACTAAAATAATCGTCAGTTTATATCTGTCATGGACTCACCGGAAGAAAAACGAGCCCGTGTAGGAATCCGATGAGAACCAACGCAAGGTACATTTGAAAGTAATAAACCTGCAAGAGAACAGAATGAAGACTCATTATGAACTAATTTTTGAAAAAAGAGAGTAGAATTGAGGTTTAATACCACAAACACTCGTGACTTTGCGAAGCTCAGCACAATAACACCTACTAGCTTCGTAAGTGTGATTCCGCTGTCAAGGAAAACATAAGACAGACATCAGTAATGTAAATTTTCGCATTTAATAAAAGGAATATTTACATACATGCCACTCATATCTTGTCTATTTACATATTTAACACCCAAACTTTAATTTTTACATAACATACCCACCTTACCTATGAATGAAAAGATCTATAAAAGTTTAAATGGTAAATTTGACGTGAAATAAAATATTTGGGTAATATAAATGTAAAAAGCAAAATTTAGATGTTAGATACGCAAATACACAGAAGATGGGTGCTATGTGTGTACATACATCGATATCAAAATGAATGAAAATCTAGACAGATAAATCTATAGCCCTAACGTATGACTCGTTAGGTTCAAGAATCATAAGCTGAATAGTTTTAGATTTGTCCATCTCTGGCCTTAATTTTAATCGAAAGCTAACATAAAACCTGCAAATAATGTTTCTCAAACAGTCATACTACCTATTTAACGTCATACATCAATTGATTATTGCTCTTAACACGATATATATTCTTTTTGTTTCGTGTTATTTCATTAAAAGTATAGGCTACCTGAACACAGAGGCGCCCATTGTACATAGAGCTGCTTTGGCCCGGCTCCCTCTATCTCCACCATTTACCTGAATCAACGCAAGTCACATATATTACTTAAGGGCAGCAGTAGTAATCCACATTTCAGAGCATTAAAAAGACGGAAACTAGGACACATAGGAGCTCACTAAATAGAAAAGGAAGATTTACATGCATATTACTCAATTCTTATGTATTTACATATGAAACACCTAAACTTCTATTTTTACATATATGCCACCTTTTAGAAGTTAGAATAGTGGTACTTTTGATGTTATAAGAAAGATTTGAATGCTATAAATGTTAGAAACATTTGATGGTATGTATACAAATGCCTCAATATTATCTTATGTACTTGAATAGAGCGGGCAAAAAGTAGGACAAAAGTTTATGTCCAGCAAATATTTTCCTGACAGAATAAATTCCCATTTTTTATGTTTTTAATAATATTTTAAATGCCATAAATTCATATGTAATTATATATCTATCATCTAAACTTTCATATTTACATATTTAACACCTAGGGTCTCAATCACTTAAGAACATGTGCATGAAAAGATGCATTTCATTTAAAAAAAAAGAATATTAGTGAAATTTTATATGTGATTTAAAGATTTGCATGTTATTACCGAATATTAAACTTTAGATATTAAATATATAAATACACAAAATTTGTGTGATATGTATGCAAATCTCCAAATATCAAAATGTCATAACTTGCGAAGTGAATTTTATTATCTTTCAACAACTCATAAATTAAGCTCAGTAATGAGGTTCTATGCCTCAATCACACTCATCACACCTTCAACATTACAGGTTAAATACAAATTCAATTTCGGCAAGAGCTCAATGAAAATGTTAATAAATAAAATCAAAGAAAGTTTAAGTTATGCTTGGGTCAAGCCTAATAAATAAAATAAATGACCTAGTTTGAATAAATATAATACTTAGCTTGACTAGGCCGTCTATATGCTAATGCAAATGTTTAGCAAAAAAGGTTTATAAAAATTAGTATGAAAGTTTATGCACTAAACTTTGTATTTATTTTTGAGTGAAGTGCCAAAATAGTCCCCTGATTGTTTACATGAAGCTATTTTAGTTTTATAGTTTTTAAAGTGCCAAGTTAGTCCCCAAACTCTTCGAATTGAGGCTGATACAGTCCTCTATAGAGACTATTTCAGCCCATATTAAACAAGTATGGGGACTAAATTAACACTTTATAGACTCCCCCTGCAAAGAGCAAAAGGACTATTTTGACACTTTTCTCAGCATATAAAGCAAAGGTATCACAGTTTTATATCGTAAATGCTATTGAACAGGATCATGCAATAAAAAAAAATTCAACCATTTTCAGCCAAGTAAAAGGATAAAAACGCACCAGGAAAGCATGTGTTATATGAACACAGAACTCAACAGCAATTCCTACTGACATGACCAAGTTGACAACTGAAATTGCATTCAACTGAATTTTCAAGATAGCCATGACACCCTGTAAATTTAAAAATTGTCAAAAAGAAAAAGCTTTTACAGCGTTTCATAGAGTAAGAAAGGAAACAAATGATGATCTACTTTGGATGCAGGCGATGTTTCACTAGTATATTAAGTTGAAAATAAGAAAATTCATATTTGATCTTCATTTTACATAAGATAATGAAATTTAACAGGCTGGAAAAAAAAATTTATTGCATAGTTATTAGAGGTACATTAATGTATTATAAGAACATTACTTTCATTACTATTTAATATTTAGTATAATAACAATATAATTCTTTGCATTTAGGTATAAGGAGGGCCTAAGTGAAGTGGAATATATTAAGGTTTTTAGATCAAACTGCATATCCTACAAGCAATTAAATAATTAAATAGTCAATTATACTTGAATGGTGAATATCCGACATTAACTGCTAAAAAAAGTTTTACACGATATCTTTTATTTCCAAAGAATGCGAAAGATATTCAATTCCATTGAAAATATTTTGATATGCTTAAACTCAAATCTCCCAAAAAGGTACCTCGGTCTAATAATTGTGAATCAATTATATACATATTAAGAATGAGGACTTCTTCCATAACAATGAAAGAACTTCTTATTCTTTCATACACACTTTAACGGGAAAAAAGTATGTCTCATACAATAGATTCGGGTCCATAACCAAGGGCTCCAATGCACAAGATATTGCAGCACTTATCAATGAGACCCTATCAATTAATATTACATAAAATTGACTAATTATTTAACATGGTTAAAAAAACCTTTAAACTTTTATTATGAAAAACAGTTTTACATTGCTACCATTCACCAAGATTTTAGACGTATAGATACCACAAACCTAATGACTAGCACATCTAGCAGTTTTGTGAGAAAAAATTATATCATTTCTTAAAATATGTATTACGTTGGGTTGCAAAAAACAAATAAAAAGAAAAACATGATCAAAGAAAAGAATTACCATCATGTCAACAACAATCATCGATAACACTAATAAAATTATCGCTGATGTCCATAGGCTGCAATTAATATTTTAATATTAGATTGATGACAGCTCGGGATATAGATTATAAATGGATAAAAAAAGTACATAGAATTATTGCCAACCTGCAAGTGATAACCAGACATATTATGAACACAGCACCTGTAAGAGTATGAATACACAACTTGGTCAACATGTGCTAAAACCAACATGGTCGAAATAGAAGACAAACAAATTAAACATGAAAGAAATTGAGAGTTAATTTGGCACGATACTATTTAAAATGAACAATTTTGACTAGAATTATTGCCATTGGTAGGTATCACAGTTGGCTGAGGATGTTCTTCAGTGACATATGTCGTGCAGTAAGAAATTTTGAGTTTGAAGTTGAAATTTTCAGAACAGTTCAACATAACGCCTTGGTGCAGTAGATTACAATTAATATGTGTATAGATAGGTTATGTACACTTAGATGTAAAATTCACATTGCAGGACCTAAAAATCCATAAGTGACAGTTTTTTAAACTCATTCTAGGCAACATTCAGCTAATTTTGAGCACATGTAACATCCTTTTATGTATTTCGAGAAAGAAAGAACTAATAAAACTTATTTTTTTTTTGAAGGGTGGAATCCTAACCCAAAATATTTTGTTAATTAAAAGTCTGAATAATTGCATACATAGCACCGGAAGCATTGCTAATTACAACTCTAGCACCCAGGTGACTTTTTGAACTACCAAACACATGCAATTTTGTGTGCCACGATCAAATTAATGAAAATTTGATAAAAAAATAAAAAAATATGGCTTGAGATTTTATGATGAATTTTGATATTTGATTGATAATTTGAAAAATAGATAAAAAAGGGAGCTTGATTTGTAAATAGCATTGTTTTGGGTGCTATGTTATAACACAACATTTCAAGGGAAAATGAGGGAGCTGAAGAGTGGAAGACGTGAGCAGTCAGAAACGCGAAGGGGTGATTCGATATTTAAATTGACACGAATGAAGGAAAGCATAGGTATGATAGAGAGGCTTCGTAGTAGACACCAACTCAGAGTGAAAACAACTTACCTGGAAAGGGGGGGGG